TTAAACTTATCAAAAACTTCTTAAAAACTTATCAACTTCTCAAAAAACGCGTGTGTCTTAACCAAAAAACTCTTTTCTTCTCCCGTCATTTCTTTTTCCTCCCTTACTTCTTTCTTTCGCTTCACTGCCTTATCTGCACTCGTCCATCCGACTCGTCGTCTGTCTCGGACGACTCAGATCCACCCTCACCATAATCCCTCCACGGTTTCATCTGTTCCGCGACCGTGGACGTTAAATTTGGTCCCTCATGTGAACCTACCTTCTTCACTTCATAACGATCGTTTTTCTTTTCTTTAGTGACTTCATAAGGGCCCAAGTACTTTGGAAAAACCTTAAGTCCAGCTCCAAACTGCGTTCGAAGTATAGCAACTAGGTCTTCAGCGCGATAACGAACGGTTTCCTTACGTCTTTTGTCAAAATGTTTTTTGTTTTCTAGTTGAACCTTTAAAATTTCTTCTTTGGCTTGCTGGCGCAACTCATGTCGATATTCCTCGAAGTTGTTTAATATCTCTTCTTCAGAACATTGCCGAACATTTTGACATTCGGTGTTGAACACAGAGACACCAAAAAGCAATTCAAACGGTGTCCTTTTTGTACTTCTGGACTTAGTGGAGTTTATCGCCATCTGTACACGACTAACATAAGTGTACCACCTTAAAGGATTTTCAAATGATAGTTTGGTTAGCAAATCTATTATTACCTTATTCACACGTTCTACTTGTCCATTTCCTCTGGGGACACCTGTTGTTATCAAATGATGCTGAACATTTCGCTCTATACAATACGTTTTAAAGCTATTCGCAGTGAAAGCAGCGCCTCTATCGGTTATGAACTGATGAGGGTTCCCGAACACCTCGCTTTGCTGTTGCAATTTTTTAAGAACTTCTTCTGTTAAACTGGATTTTACAGGGTATATCCATATAAACTTAGTGAAAGCGTCTATTACCACGAAAAGATATTTGTAATTTTTTGCAGTTGAAGGAAGTGGTCCTAAAGGGATATCAGGTTTTTCAATAGGTGAAAGGAATCCCTCTCTTTTTCCGTGTTTTCTTGCTGAGAGAATGCAGTTAATGCAATTTGCTGTTACCGCTTCAACATGCTTCCTTAAGTTCGGGACGAAATATTCTTGCTCCACTACCGTTTTTACTTTTTCCGCATTCCAGTGTCCTTGTTCATGAATTTTGGTTATTAATTCTCTTCTCATTGTTTTAGGTATTACTAATAAATATGCTCCATCCACAAATTTATACAGTATTTCGCTTCGTATTTCAAAGTTCTGACATGGCCCGTTCTCCAAAATTTTGCGTGTCATTTGGCAGAATTCATCCAGATTTTACGCTTTTTTAACAGTTAACACTATACCATCCTCTACCTGCAATACGACGAGATAACGACTCAATGCATCAACGTGTCGCATGCTGCTACCTGATCGGTGGCTCACCTTGCAATAAAACTCTTCCAGTTGCATAGCCCAGTTTGAAACTCTACTATTTAATGTATTCTTATCCATTGTCTGTTGGAAAGCTTTATAGTCAGTAAAAATTTCAAAGGACATACCCAATAAGTAAATTCGTAGTTTTTTCAATGCTATTACAATTGCTAATACTTCCAAATCGTAGCTGCAATAATTTTTTTCTGCAGCTTTTGTTTTGTAACTAAGGTAAAATACGGGGTGGTAGTTTTTGTTACCATGTTTTTGTAATAATACCGCTCCGTAGCCTTCCTTACTCGCGTCGGTGTGAAGTTGGGTTGGAAGAGTAGGATTGAAAAGCTTTAAAACTGGATCACAGCATAAACTCTCCTTTAGTAGGACAAACGCATTGTTTTGTATTTCACCCCACACGAACGATTCGTGTTTCTTTGTGAGATCTGTTAGTGGTTTAGCTACCAAAGCGTATCCTTTTATAAACTTACGAAAAAATCCTGTGAGTCCTAAAAAGCTCATAACTCCGTGCAAATTTTTAGGAGTTGGAAATTTTTTTACTGCTCTGATCTTCTCTTCTGAAGGCCGTATTTCACCGTGTTCTACTAAGTGCCCTAAAAACTCCACGCTTTTTCTTAAGAAGGCGCACTTTTCCCATTTTATTAATAGACCGTGATTCTCGGCTACGAATAACACTTCTTTAAGCTTCCTAACTCCATCTTCTTCATCATCAGCGGGGATGATCAAGTCATTCATATAAACCAAAACAATCTTCCTTTTTATTAAATTTTGAAATATCGTATTTATATATCTCTGAAATGCCGCAGGTGAATTACATAGACCAAAAGGTACTTTGCGGAACTCGTACTGTCCATCTGGTATGACAAACGACGTATATTTCATACTCAATTCATCGACATTGACATGAAAGAAACCATTACATAAGTCTAATGTAGTAAATACAGTTGCGTTATATAATCCTTCCAGTATCTCTTCGTAATTTGGCAGAGGGTGTCTGTCACGAATTACCTTGGAGTTTAGCTTCCTATAATCGACGCATAATCGGTAACTGCCATCCTTTTTCCGCGCTAACACTATTGGGCTTGCGTAATTCGATGAGCTTTCTTGAATTATTCCATTTTCTAACCATTCCTGAATCTGAAACTGAACGAAGTCCCTTTCTGTCTGTGCTAATCTTCGTGGCTTTTAAAAAATTGGTTTATCGTCTTCCAGTGTGATATGCATTTTTATATAGGACTCCTCTGGCTTTCTTGGTGAATATAGTTCTATAAGTTCTCTTACATCCGCCCGTAGCAAAGAATTTTTTATGTTTGATTTTTCACAACTTCCTTAGCGACTGCACTCTACTTTTATGAAGTCGCTTATATACATTTTAAGGTCAGAATGAAATGATATTTTTAATATAGATCGTTTATTTGCTAAAATATAGCATAACCTACAAAACTAAATATACATATTTCTACTCATTTATGTTATTATAATTATTAAATCGTATTTAGATATAAAACCAATTCGCTTAAAACATTCCCTTAAAACAACACCAAAAAGAAGAAATCCATACACATTCGCTTATAGCAAAACACAAGTAGCTAACGCATAAGCAAGAACGTTGCATATATTCCAAACGCATAATAGTCAAAAATGTTAAATCGACTATTAGCAACCAATCAAAATGAAACCAGTTTACGATTTTGCTGTTGCTAATGCATATTCTTATTTCATTTTCCTTTGCAATGCATTAGCAATTATGCAAGCAATGCAATTAGCAACAGCAGTTCAAGTCTTGGTTAAGAATGAAGTTCAATTAGCCAATACATTTGTCGACATTTGTATTTGATTTGATCAGATTTCTGTTTGACATGGTTTATCCAATTTAGTCTATTATCAAGATATGACCCAAGGTATTTTGCAGACTTTGACTATGGAACTTGTATGCCATATAGATGTAGTTATTTTCTTTAAAAATAAAATGCAATATTTTTCGATACTCTTACAGAACCTCAGACTTTTATTCAATCAAAAAAAACTTCATTAATAATAAAATAAAATTTAGTGTTTTTATTTCTTTTTTAACTTCAAAAGTTCAAACTTCTCAAAATATATTAAACTTATCAAAAACTTTAATAATAAACTTCTTTAATAATAACTTCTTTAATAATAAAGTAAAAGTTAGTGGTTTTTCTTTCTTTTTTAACTTTAAAAGTTCAAACTTCTCTAAATATTTTAAACTTATCAAAAACTTCTTAAAAACTTATCAACTTCTCAAAAAACGCGTGTGTCTTAACCAAAAAACTCTTTTCTTCTCCCGTCATTTCTTTTTCCTCCCTTACTTCTTTCTTTCGCTTCACTGCCTTATCTGCACTCGTCCATCCGACTCGTCGTCTGTCTCGGACGACTCAGATCCACCCTCACCATAATCCCTCCACGGTTTCATCTGTTCCGCGACCGTGGACGTTAAATTTGGTCCCTCATGTGAACCTACCTTCTTCACTTCATAACGATCGTTTTTCTTTTCTTTAGTGACTTCATAAGGGCCCAAGTACTTTGGAAAAACCTTAAGTCCAGCTCCAAACTGCGTTCGAAGTATAGCAACTAGGTCTTCAGCGCGATAACGAACGGTTTCCTTACGTCTTTTGTCAAAATGTTTTTTGTTTTCTAGTTGAACCTTTAAAATTTCTTCTTTGGCTTGCTGGCGCAACTCATGTCGATATTCCTCGAAGTTGTTTAATATCTCTTCTTCAGAACATTGCCGAACATTTTGACATTCGGTGTTGAACACAGAGACACCAAAAAGCAATTCAAACGGTGTCCTTTTTGTACTTCTGGACTTAGTGGAGTTTATCGCCATCTGTACACGACTAACATAAGTGTACCACCTTAAAGGATTTTCAAATGATAGTTTGGTTAGCAAATCTATTATTACCTTATTCACACGTTCTACTTGTCCATTTCCTCTGGGGACACCTGTTGTTATCAAATGATGCTGAACATTTCGCTCTATACAATACGTTTTAAAGCTATTCGCAGTGAAAGCAGCGCCTCTATCGGTTATGAACTGATGAGGGTTCCCGAACACCTCGCTTTGCTGTTGCAATTTTTTAAGAACTTCTTCTGTTAAACTGGATTTTACAGGGTATATCCATATAAACTTAGTGAAAGCGTCTATTACCACGAAAAGATATTTGTAATTTTTTGCAGTTGAAGGAAGTGGTCCTAAAGGGATATCAGGTTTTTCAATAGGTGAAAGGAATCCCTCTCTTTTTCCGTGTTTTCTTGCTGAGAGAATGCAGTTAATGCAATTTGCTGTTACCGCTTCAACATGCTTCCTTAAGTTCGGGACGAAATATTCTTGCTCCACTACCGTTTTTACTTTTTCCGCATTCCAGTGTCCTTGTTCATGAATTTTGGTTATTAATTCTCTTCTCATTGTTTTAGGTATTACTAATAAATATGCTCCATCCACAAATTTATACAGTATTTCGCTTCGTATTTCAAAGTTCTGACATGGCCCGTTCTCCAAAATTTTGCGTGTCATTTGGCAGAATTCATCCAGATTTTACGCTTTTTTAACAGTTAACACTATACCATCCTCTACCTGCAATACGACGAGATAACGACTCAATGCATCAACGTGTCGCATGCTGCTACCTGATCGGTGGCTCACCTTGCAATAAAACTCTTCCAGTTGCATAGCCCAGTTTGAAACTCTACTATTTAATGTATTCTTATCCATTGTCTGTTGGAAAGCTTTATAGTCAGTAAAAATTTCAAAGGACATACCCAATAAGTAAATTCGTAGTTTTTTCAATGCTATTACAATTGCTAATACTTCCAAATCGTAGCTGCAATAATTTTTTTCTGCAGCTTTTGTTTTGTAACTAAGGTAAAATACGGGGTGGTAGTTTTTGTTACCATGTTTTTGTAATAATACCGCTCCGTAGCCTTCCTTACTCGCGTCGGTGTGAAGTTGGGTTGGAAGAGTAGGATTGAAAAGCTTTAAAACTGGATCACAGCATAAACTCTCCTTTAGTAGGACAAACGCATTGTTTTGTATTTCACCCCACACGAACGATTCGTGTTTCTTTGTGAGATCTGTTAGTGGTTTAGCTACCAAAGCGTATCCTTTTATAAACTTACGAAAAAATCCTGTGAGTCCTAAAAAGCTCATAACTCCGTGCAAATTTTTAGGAGTTGGAAATTTTTTTACTGCTCTGATCTTCTCTTCTGAAGGCCGTATTTCACCGTGTTCTACTAAGTGCCCTAAAAACTCCACGCTTTTTCTTAAGAAGGCGCACTTTTCCCATTTTATTAATAGACCGTGATTCTCGGCTACGAATAACACTTCTTTAAGCTTCCTAACTCCATCTTCTTCATCATCAGCGGGGATGATCAAGTCATTCATATAAACCAAAACAATCTTCCTTTTTATTAAATTTTGAAATATCGTATTTATATATCTCTGAAATGCCGCAGGTGAATTACATAGACCAAAAGGTACTTTGCGGAACTCGTACTGTCCATCTGGTATGACAAACGACGTATATTTCATACTCAATTCATCGACATTGACATGAAAGAAACCATTACATAAGTCTAATGTAGTAAATACAGTTGCGTTATATAATCCTTCCAGTATCTCTTCGTAATTTGGCAGAGGGTGTCTGTCACGAATTACCTTGGAGTTTAGCTTCCTATAATCGACGCATAATCGGTAACTGCCATCCTTTTTCCGCGCTAACACTATTGGGCTTGCGTAATTCGATGAGCTTTCTTGAATTATTCCATTTTCTAACCATTCCTGAATCTGAAACTGAACGAAGTCCCTTTCTGTCTGTGCTAATCTTCGTGGCTTTTAAAAAATTGGTTTATCGTCTTCCAGTGTGATATGCATTTTTATATAGGACTCCTCTGGCTTTCTTGGTGAATATAGTTCTATAAGTTCTCTTACATCCGCCCGTAGCAAAGAATTTTTTATGTTTGAAAGATCTTCCGCATCGGTGACATCAGAAATACATATTAAATTTATATGTGAGCCCGCTTCAACATCGTCTCTGGTCTTGTTTTTATATGTGATGATTTCACCTTTGTCTATTAGAACTGTTGCACATCGCAAAAATCCTTTACCTAAAATCACGTCAGTATTTACCCAAGAGTCAGGTACTACATCACAATTCAAATTATAATGCTCTGAATCTACAGTTTGTTATTGTCACCAAACCCTACAACACTTGTACCTGGTCCATTGAATCCTTCGACACCCAAACATTCTGTTGCGCGTTGTGTTATTATATTAATATCACTACCAGTATCTACCAGAGCTTCGAATGACTGCTCCAATATTTGAATTTTTAATGTAAAATCCGAGAGCTGCACTCTATCAATTCGTGATGCTGAACTACGCGCTTGATTTGGATTTTGTTGGCTTACAGGCCGTCTAAAATTTGTATTATTTTGACATATTGTGGCAATGTGACCAAATTCATTGCACTTAAAATATCTTCTTCCTCTTCCCCTATTTGGGCAATGTTGTGTTGTGTGTGACACCGCTCCACAGTTATTGCATCTTTTATTGACCTGATTTCCACTATAATAGTTGTCGTAATTATTTCGACCTTGGCATCTTTTTTTCTTCTCCTGATCGGCCTTAAACTTCTCATAAGCTTTGAGGTTAATTTTTAGCTGCTCAAGAGTACAAGACTGATAGAGTGTGGCCTTGTTTAGTGAACTATCTGGTATGCGTGCTATAATGTACTCAATCAAGTGTGTTTCTTCGACTGTACCTCTAGAAGCAACTTTTTTCATTTTATAAAAATATTCCAAGAAAGATTCGTTACTTCGCTTTTTCATATTTTCCAATTTTTTGTGCAAGTTTTCCAATTCCTGGCAACGAAATTCAGTTCTAAGAGTTCGTTTTAATATCTCCCAACTGTTGACGCCAGTTTCTGCTTCCACAGCCAACTTTGCAGCCCCACGTAATAATCTTTTGCAATATAGGAATCTTTGTACTTGATTCCATTTACACACTACCGAAATGCTTTCGAAATCAAGCAACCAGTCCTCTATTTTTTTATTTGACTCACCATCGAACAATTCTAGCGATTCTTCGACCTCCTTAAAGTTTATATTATTTTGTACCTGTTCACTTGACATGTTTAATGTTTCACCGTCCGCCGCGTCGCTCTTGATCGTATTATTATTGTTCGCGTTCACTAATTTTTCTTCTGTATTTAGTGTTATTTCGTTATTTTTTAATTCAGATTTCCAATTTTTCTCTGAATTTTCCATGAATTTCTCTAACCGGTCAATTAAATTTACTTTTAAATTATACCAATGTGGTAATCCGTATTTTCTTAAAAGTTCTTGCAATTGCTTAGTGATTAATTCTGATAGCGATTCGCGCAAATTTTTCATTAGCGATTTTTTCAGTTTTTTTTTTCTTTTTGACCGCTTATTTATTTATTAATATATACACTTCAAGGTCGACTATTTTTTTTTGTGCACTTCTAACACCATGTAGTTATTTTCTTTAAAAATAAAATGCAATATTTTTCGATACTCTTACAGAACCTCAGACTTTTATTCAATCAAAAAAAAACTTCATTAATAATAAAATAAAATTTAGTGTTTTTATTTCTTTTTTAACTTCAAAAGTTCAAACTTCTCAAAATATATTAAACTTATCAAAAACTTTAATAATAAACTTCTTTAATAATAACTTCTTTAATAATAAAGTAAAAGTTAGTGGTTTTTCTTTCTTTTTTAACTTTAAAAGTTCAAACTTCTCTAAATATATTAAACTTATCAAAAACTTCTTAAAAACTTATCAACTTCTCAAAAAAACGCGTGTGTCTTAACCAAAAAACTCTTTTCTTCTCTCGTCATTTCTTTTTCCTCCCTTACTTCTTTCTTTCGCTTCACTGCCTTCTCTGCATAGATATGTATACACATTATTGGATGTATGCCGCAGAGTAAATGTTACATGAATGGATTTAGTTTAATCTTTCAATCAGCGATCCAATGGCTGATATTGTTATAGCGTTGTTTGCAGTTAATTTGTGGTTGCATCTTGTGTGTTTCCATATGGCATTACTACTGTGTCATCGGCGAATTTACCGATGAATGTGTCTTATGTTGAAGGTATGTCAGCTTTGTAGAGGATGTAGAGAATAGGATATAGGACACTACGCTGTGGAACTCCAGCCCTGATAATATATATGCCCGAATGTTCTTCTTCATATGCTACCTTAAATGTTCTTTCTGATAAGCATGCTTTGACCCTTACAAATCGTTGGGACCAGATGGAATCATAAATGCCATGTTGCAACACTCTGCTGAAAGCGTGGGTCCTCATCTGGTAAACATCATTTCAAGATGCTTAAGGGATGGATATATACCTAAAGCTTGGCGGGAGGTTAGGGTGTTTTTATCCCAAAAGCAGGAAAGCTAAATCACTCTACTGCAAAGGATTACAGACCAATTAGTCTCTCCTCATTTATTTTAAAAACACTAGAGAGACTTATCGATTTGTATAAGTTATTTGATCGAATCGCGGACCGTTTTTAAAATAAAGCACGTTACCCTTTCGATTGAGAAGTATATTTGATCTTTATTAAAATTTGCTAGTGCGCTGCACTTACAAATTAATATTATTATTTTACAGAATTTATAATTTTTATTTATTGTTTTAATATGACATTGCTAGTCAGCTGCCCTTACAAATTATTTGTGCTTATTCTATAGTTTAATTTATTGTTATTGATTAAGTACAATAACAATGTCAACACGCGCTTGCTTTGGGTTCTTTGCACCGAAATGAAATTCGATATTGCGTAAACCGTTACTGCAATAAAGCGACAATTTTAATTGTGCGCATGGACTGGGTCGCTGACATCGTTGTTACATATTAATGCTGACGCATGGTCAACACTGGTTAACTTATATTAGAGGAAAGACCAGTATCCGCACAATGGACATGGCACAACACGCATACCGCAAGGGTATGTCGGTAGAAAGTGCTCTCCACGAAGCGGTTGGTACTATTGAAAGAACACTCGAACTAAAGGAGTACACCCCGGCTGGATTCCTTGACATCGAGAGAGCTTTCAATAACGTAAGCACGAACGCGATCCGTGAGGCGCTCAGAAGAAATGGAGTCGAGAACTTCATAGTAGCATGGATTGGCAAAATGCTTGAAAGCAGAGTCATCAACGCTAATATATGAGCGGGCTCCGTGACCAGGAGGACTACAAAGGGCACCCCACAGGGAGGAGTATTATCACCCCTTCTCTGGCTCCTGGTGGTCGACGAAATCTTGCAAATCTTTAGGGTTAAGAAAACAAAGGTTGTTGCCTACGCCGATGACGTTGCCATCCTAATCTCAGGCAAATAGTTGTCAACGATTAGTGAGCTCATGGAATCGGCACTTGGTGAAATCTCCAGGTGGGCAAAAAGCAATGGCTTAGGAGTGAATCCTACTAAGACAGAGCTTTTCCTGTTCACACGGAAAACTAAAATACCTATTTTCACCTTACCAAGATTGGATGGAATTACACTGACTCTGTCGTCCTTGATTCCAAACTAAATTGGAGAATTAATATTGAGGAGAGAACTAGGAAAGGACTAGCTGCATACTATGTCTGCAAAAAGACCTTTGGGAAGCGATAGGGACTGTCACCGTACGTAGTATAGGGAATGTACACGACGATCATCAGGCCTATCATTACCTATGGGTCTCTCGTCTGGTGGCAGGCGTTGGACAAAAAATGCAATTTAGCCCGCATCGGAAAAACACAGAGATTGGCTTGCTTAGGTATGTTTGTATTTAGATTCTTATCAGCTTACACACCCGAACAATTAAACGCATTTATTTAAAAATGTTGGCAAATATTTCGTTCTTTATTTACATTGTGACCGAAAAGTTTTCGGTCACTCTCATTTAAAATTCGCGCGCTGTATGTTTTTCGATATTTTAAGTTTATGTAGTTTGGCAGCACTGTCCTTAATTACTATGCCAAAAATGAGCGCGATCTGTCAGACAGTTCGTTTACGGCAGCTTTTGAAACCAGTTCACCTCAGTAGTGCGTTGCGAAAAAAACAATGGAAAAAAATATTGAACAAAGAGTTTGCATCAAATTTTGTGTTTCGAACGAAATTTCGTGTGCAGAATCGTTGCGAATGTTACAAAAGGCTTATGGGGAATCAGTTTTATCGAAAACTCAAGTTTATGAGTGGTACAAAGCCTTTCAGGACGGTCGTACGACCGTCGAAGACATGCCGCGTTCTGGACGACCTTCGACCTCTACCACCGACGAAAACATTGAAAAGGCAAAGGAAATCGTGTTCCAAAATCCTCATGTGAGTGTTAGAGAGATAGCACGAGAGCTAGGCATCGGTCGTGAGATGGCTCGTTTGATTTTGGTGGACAATTTGTGTATGCGACGTGTCAACGCTCGGCTTGTTCCGATTCACCTCAATTTGTTCAACATTATCAACGATTTTAAGGCCAAACATTCAATAAATACCATCGAACAGCCACCGTATTCACCTGATCTTGCACCGTGTGACTTTTTCCTGTTTCCCAAACTCAAATTACCACTCAGAGGAACGCGTTTTGAATCCATAGAAGACGTAAAACAGAATTCGCAGAGGGAACTCAAAGCCATACCGGAAAGCGCCTATAAAAAATGTTTTGATGATTGGAAGAAACGTTTGCATTTGTGTATCGCTTCTAATGGAGCATATTTTGAAGGAGATAAAATAAATATTGATGAAGATTAAGAATTTTGCGTTTTATGTATTTAACTTTGACCGGAAACTTTTCGGTCACAATGTAAGAACTTCATCAGTGCTATATAATAACAAACATTAATTTAAATGTAAAATACTAACATCAAAATATATATACCTTATTTTTTATAAAATGCAGTAATTTTTTTGTTCCACAATAGTCATTAGTAATAAAAATTGAATTAACAAATTAAAATATAAAATTAAAACAATTAAAATTCACACATTAAAACTTAATACACAATTTTTTTGGACATAAATAACTAGCATAACAAAACTAAAACATTTTTTAATGTTAATATTCCACCAAAAATAATAATAATAACAAACGTTCTCTTTTTTATCTCTTATTACTCAATAAGTAGAAACCCAACAGCTGACTTTTATTTTCTTTTATCTCTTATTTTTGATTAACTTGTATTTATCCAATAAATTAGAGTAAAGTGTGCTAAAATTATCCGTGTCTCTCTTGTAGTTTACCACCTGTTCATTATTTAATATGATGTGAATAACTTCACTCATTAATCTTTTATGATAATTATTTTCAATTTCCAGAATTATTACTTCATCAAAGTTAAAGCTATGTCCTTTAGAAATAGAATGTTCAGAAAGAGCTGTTTTTTTCCCATCATCTTTAGGTTTACACGTACTTTTGTGTTCACCAACTCTTTTTGCCAATCTTTGTTTGGTTGTTCCTACCATATATAAGCTCTATTGCAATCATTACAATTGATCTTATAAATAAGATTTGACAAATTTTCTTTCTTTTCTTTGTCTTTAATCTTTGAGAATAAATTCCTTGTTGTTTTCAAGTTGTAAAGTACAAAATAAATTATTTCCTCTTGTTTAAATAATTTTGAAATTTTTGAGAGAGTCCCGGTATATTAGGGAACTTACATCTAGCTTTATTGTTATTGACATTGTCAACTGTATTTTTTAACGTTTTTGTGCATTTATAGAACAGAAAGATCTTATTTATAAAATACTTAGGATAATTATTATTCATAAATATCTGTCTAATTTGTTTCTTGTTATCCATAAACCTGTCATCACTGAGACTTATAACTCTGCTAATCAAGTTGAAAATAAAAGCAATTCAATTATTGATTCGCTATTTAAAACAGGAGAAAACCGAATTATATCAACTGAAAAAACAAAATAGTGTATGTCCCAAAGCTTATGGTCTTAGAAAAGCTCACAAAGAAGATACAATAGGGTATAGACCAGTTATAAGTAACATCAACTCTCCCACTTATAACTTATCATCTTATATTCACAAAAAAAATTTTTCCCAAGTATGATCAACTTTTTACAGAAGTGTAAAGAGTTCATTTGAAGCAATAGAAATTTTAAAAACAACAAGTATTCCTGAAGGATATATATGAATTTCATTAGACGTAGTCTCTCTTTTTCCAAGTATTCCCAGGACATTAATGATTGAAATGATTAAAAAACATTGGAATTACTTAAGTTATTACACTAATCTCAAAAACTAAAATCATTGAAAATTTTTTTTAAGGTTTCTAATATCTCGATTATTTAAAGCCCGAACGAGATATTTTTGAACCATTATAGTATTTATATATTTTTAATTTATTTTTTCTGCAGTTAATGTAATGAGAAAA